CATAAATATATATATATATATATAGACATTAATATTTGATACATGATCACCACACTTAGGAGTTGCATAGAACTCATTGCATTGGACCTTATTACAATACGCATACATATATATTTACACAGTAGTACTATTACACGAAACAAAACGTAGATAAAAACACATGATAATATAAGCTAGGCACCATGCCACACATGACATACACTTATTCGAATATTCCAATTCGTTGTGACAAAGGGACTTAGACAGTTTCAATAAATGGGCTTCCTTCTTTTTCCATAGATTTCTTTCTCAGACGGAACTGCCTCTCTTTGTATAATATCTCAGCCAAACTTCATAACATTGAAAAAATAAAAAACTGAAAGTCAGAGAACTTCTTTTTATGATGAGAGAAGTTTCATATATAAGTATGAATGAAGAAATTTATGTAATTAAAGAGCCTAATATAGAATTCAACTAGACTTTAAAATTCCTATTTCTTCTAAAGAGATTTTACATTTTATACATTGTGGGCACGTACAAGCATTTTTAAATTTTTAGCCACTCAAAAAACATTTTAACTATGATGACTTTGAAAGTATATATTATAAATAACACATTAACTGTACAGATAAAGTATAAACTTGTGTTTGGATACCAATGAAAAAAAATATATATTTATATTAATAAAATTCATGGTAAAAGATAAATCTCAACTAAAAAGTTCTACTAATTTTGGTCACAGTAAAAAAAATTAAAAAAAAAAAATCTTTCTTGAGAACAGAAGTGTAAGCACCTGTCAAGAGCCTGGGCATTCGTATAATTTATTTCATCTGTGATATCCGCCTTCATCCTCATAACATTTTGGTGCAACAGATTTTGGCCTACCTTTTCAAGATTCTCCATGTTTATTATATCAACGTTATCCATTGCTTCCATGGATGGATCCAGGTTATACTCCTGCCATTACATGCATACATGTATCATCAAGTTAAATATCCACCTTATTAAGATAAAGAAAAAAAATGAGATGGAATTAGTTTAACATAATTGTATAATATTAACATGATACACAATTAAATTACAGAATAAGACCAACAAGTCATTGAACTCGGTTTCTTTAAATAAGATTTTAGGTTTGAGTTTTGTATATAGAAAAAACATGGTTAGAAAGAAGATGAAAATCCTACTAAAATTGGTCAGATAAGTTTTTCTCTATGGAAATTATTTATATTGACGAAGTCAATGAATACTTTATACTTTATACTAATACCATAGTTAATTAAATCTTGAAAAGGTACATCAGGTCTAACAACTTACAACTCTTTCATTTAAAACAAGAAGTTTTATAAAAATTTTGTTTTAGGTCTCACTCATTGTTATTAGATCCGACATGAAAATATGAAAATAGTGTCATAAATTAATAACTATATATAGTATACCTGAATCCGAAGGAAGTTATTAAGTGGTAAAATGCCTGGGAAGACTGTAGCAAGGTAGTAGGAGATCATGTCTGTATCATATATAGCATCACTAATAAGTCCAGTGTTGGTAATTAGCCACCAAAACTTACACGGTCCTTCTATGATGCCAGATAACTTCTTGTCCCCTTTTGTTGTGCCAGTTCCTAATGACAGCATCAGGATTTCCTTTTGCTCACTGTGTTGCAGCACTTCGCTCACAGCAACCATGGCCTAAAATCAAATCAAATCAAATTAAATTCAACCTACCTAATAATGAGGAAACTTCATCAATTTATCCTCTAAATGCACGTTTTGATAAAATCATCCTTTAAATGTTTTGAAATATTACTTTATATACATAAATGTATATCACTGATGAAGTCTGCATTGAATATAAATATATATTATTGAAGTAAAATTCAAATTATGAACAAAAGATAGTACTAATTATGGTATATAAGAAATTGTTCTTTGGTTTTAATGAGTAGTTAATTTCTCTAAATTTAAGTTAGTGATATTTACTGGATTATTAGCAGCCACAGCACCATCAATCAAACTGAATTCAACACCCTCATTCGTAAATTCGTGATGTGGTAGATAAGTGGGTGCAGCGGAAGTCCCGAGGCATATATCTGCGAGTTTGGCATTTAAGTGAGTTTCTTTCTTCAGCTGCATCAGCAAAGTAGCAAAAACATTCAATAGTTAGCCCATTACAACAAAATTGTAATATAGTGAGACACACCCTATAGTAATACTATACATGTTATTACAAATTATTTTTACCCACACACAATAACTACAATATATATTGGTATATTATTAAAAAGTGTAGGTATAGACTATAGTGACACACAAAATATGTTGCTAAATCTCATTCAAAATTAACACTAAAATTGTGTAACTATATGTCAAATAGACATATACATATATATATTGTACCTATAATAACATTTTTTGTATGTTACTATATGTAACATTTCTTGTAGGCGCCTTACGAGAAATATTCTTTATGTGTAGACAAAATAAACTAAATTTAAATTATAAAAACTACACTAAGGAGAAAAAAGTTTCTGAACTGAATTACATTGCACTCTAAAAGTTTAATTTGAACCCCAATTTGAATTGAACCGAACATTTTTTTGGTGCTTTCATTAAATTGAAATGTTTTGTTCCATTGCTCTAACGGTATAGATCAATTTAGCCTATTTTATTTTCTATTTTTATTTAAATTTTACAAAAGATAATACAAAAATATATATATATATATATAGGGCCAAATAAATCCGATAAGTTTCAAATCTAAAAAATTAGTAGTCCAATGACCTAGTTCAGTTAATCCACCAAACCTAACTATATTAATCCAAATTTTTCGAGTCATTTTTTCCCCAGTTCAAACTATTAGATTAACCCATTGAGCTAAACCATTTTTGACACTTTTAACCTTTAGCTTTTTATACAAAAAGTTTCAATTTTTAAATATTTCAATTCTATTCAATTTTTTATGAAATAGACGAGTTAACCACCGATTCAATGTAGTTCAATTTCTTTCCTCACTCCCATTATTCATATAGCACAAAGAAGAATATTATACTATAACTTATATGATTTTTTTTGTCAAATTTTTTTATCCCATAACTTCTTTTCTATTATACTTTCTGTTTTCTCTCCGTGTCTCCCTTTTTAATAACAGGATATTATACACATAAATAAATTTGTATCAATAGATTTTCTAGCCTAATGATAACGAAACTCAAATTCTATATTTGCACACAATTTCTAACATGCCAACCTTGTAGTTTGAGAATATAACTGGCTTGAGTTTCTTCTGGTCGAAAGTTGGTATTACCACGTTGGTCAATGTTTGACTAAGTCGTGTTTCTTTCAGTAGCTCCCATGTTTTTTCTCGTAAGAAATTCCCACTATACTTGGGACATCGCCCCCAAAAGCTGCATGTTGTTTCATCACCAAGAATCCAAACGTGTCAGCAAAATAAATGCAAGAAGAATTCAACCAGTTTCAATTGCACTTTCCTTATCTATACTTTTAGATAATTTTCTATGATAATCTAACATGAATTATCATTTACTTCAACATTTGTCGAGTGGGTCACCAATTTATTTATTTGGGTTCATGTTAATTTAAAATAAATAATAATAAAAAATTTAATATATAAATTATATTAGTATTAGGTGTAGTGACTTTTGGTGTATGAGATCAACCTTTTAGAAAGGAGAAATCATATTATAGTGTCTATGTGGGTTGTACTTCTTTGTGAAACAACGAGAAGAAGAAGAATTTTGTGAAGAGTGGAACAACTAACTTTGGAGAAGAAGTGTTAGTACCAATTTCTGTATATTTTAGTTATCTCTATTATTTGGTTAGATACTCATTTAGAAGTTTTTTGGTATTATTATCCACCATATTGGTGAGAAACTATTTCTAGTGATCCCTATTGATTGTAGAAGGACTTTTGGTGTATTTATTGATTATTATTAGTAGAGTTTTTACTAGACTAGGTCTCGTGATTTTTTACTTCATATTGAGGGTTTTCCTTAAAATTTGATGTCTGTTGACTTCTATTTTTCTGTTTTGTGTATCTAGCTAACATTATCTTATTGCTTCTAAAACTTATTATTATTTATACTGAAAAAAAGGAGTTTCAATTTTGCTTCCATTAAAATTGTTATTATTTGTTAACTTTCCCAACAACCTTACAATAGCTTTCCAAAATTATTTGTAAAATGAGAATTTTTCTAATGGATTCTTTTTTAATCTTTATCTGTCCAATTTCCTCAACATAGAGGATACTCATTTTTTTACGTAACTTCTGATAAAATCTCGTATTTGTCACCTTCTTGTATATTACATTTTGTTTGATTTTTCTCGAGTCTGACATGAAACTGGAACTTAATTTTCCTCATAATATGTTTCAAATATAAATTGTAAGAATAGTCAACTATGTTTATTTTGTGGTAGTGTTGATTCTAATTAGCATATGCAAGTTCCATTAATATATTAAATTTCGTAAGATATATATACCTGTCTTCAAATATTTTAGGGCCATATTCCTTGTAGAATTGTACGACTTCAGCGGGAGTAAAGAGAGGATGATTACTGTGAGATGAGTTTGGGGCTGCTAACATTGCAGTCATGATTCCACCTGTACTAGTTCCTGATATGACGTCAAAATAATGTGCTAATGGTGTTGTTGGGTCCTTAGCCTGCGATATTCAACCCAAACTCAAATTTAGAATATTAAGAGCGCATAAGCTGTGGAAATTGTTTGTCCTATAAAGCAACTCAAGTCCTGGTTTTTTGTCATTGGAAAACTCTGACGTGGCAACTTGAGTTGCTTGAAGAAGAGAAAGAGTTGTTTTCTCAAGCAACCGTTCTTTACTAGATTTCAAGCAGATTTTATTGAACCTATTTAGGAACGTTTCGGAAATAATAATGATGAAAATTAATTTCGTATAATGTCTATGTATTTACTATTACTTTATTTTATTTTTAATATCTACTTATTGTGTATTTTTTTCTCATAATTTATTTTCTTTTATTGTAGTACAATTATCTTTTTTAATAAAATTAAAATTTAAAATTAGTTCATAAATGATTAGAAAAAAAATGCTAAAAGTTGAATTTCTTAAAGTTTCTTACCATTGCCCATTGAAGTAAATTTGTGTTTGAGTTGCTTAATACTGACATGACACACTGTAGATCATTTTTTTCATTTTTCAATGCATGAAACAACTCAAATGAGTTACTTCCATTAGAGATGTCCTTAGGTTTCTATTATGAATGTAAGAAATTAAAAATTATTTCTTATTAATTAAGAAAAGTTGTTCTAAAAAATTCTTTCTTAAAACTTGATATCGAGAGTAAAAAAAGACATTAAAAATATAATTTTAATTAAATGAATCAATATTTATTAGGAAGATAATTTTAAATAGAGTAAAATTAGTTGAAATTTATTTATATTTAATGTTTATATTTGAAATCAATAAATATCAAGTTTTTTTTCTTATATCCAAAAGCGGAGAGTATTGTTTTTTCCTTTAGAAAAATCCCTAGCTAGGGAGCATAAAATATTATATTCATAAAATAAAATTATATTTAGTAATTTATTGAAATATTTATTTTCTATTTCTCAATCATATCAATTACCTTATACCCCACATTCTTTCCCTTAGCTATCTTTTAATTATTTTACTTTTTAAAAAATTATATAAATCTTTTTTGTATAAATCAGAAAAGGTGAATGAAATATCATTTGATACCCCTTTAAAGGAATATCATACTATTTAGTTAACCAAATCGTTCACTATAAGTCTTATATATGAGTTGCCGAAGTGTTTAAGCATTTTATATTTCAATTTTCTTTATGTTCAAAAGTCCTTTGAGTCACAGTAATATTGAAAGAGAGATCAGTCTTTGAAACAATGTGATAAGAATACTCGTGGCAGAAACAAAAAATGTTCACCATAATTTCTTACAAGAATAAGCAAAATTTCAAGCTTTAACACCATTTGCAACCCAGCCACATACAAATAGATCATGTACCTTAAGAGCCTTGTCCAAGTAATCAAGAACAACTGCGGGAATAATCCCCCTGATACCACCACCATCTATGCTGAGAATTGATATATGGTTTCCATAGAACGGTGGTGGTAGTGGTGTATTGAATCCAGCCATCAATTGGCTGGCAAACACAAGAGCAAACAAGAGTAATGGAGCCATTAATTGATCTAAATGCCTCATTTCACGAGAGAATAGAGGTTGAAGGGGTGTAAAAGGGAGATTAATGAAGGAACGCCTTGAGGATTCTTCTCAAATGTGAAGAGTATTTATAGACATCTTTGCGGCCATGCAAGTATTAGGATTAAGCGTATAGTTGCAAAAATTTAACTTGTTGATGAATATGAGTTGAGGTTGTAGCACATGTGGTGCCCAACCTAAGATGTGTGCCCGTGCAATTAGATACAAGAAAATAAGAAATTCAAGGTCAACTGCTTATTGATTATTAGGGTTAGTATAAGTCGAGTTAGATCGAATTGGGTCGAGTTTATCTTTACCTAAATTAATTTTATTTTTTGAGTGAATTGTTTTATCTAAATCAAATTTAACATGATCAAAATCTAAAAATATATAAGGTCGGGTGAATCGAACTTTATTATACTACACTAGATTTAACATTATATAAAGTTAAATGATAAGTTAAAAGAAGCACAAAATTTAAATTATAGTATATTTTATAATATATTTTTAAAATAAATAACTTTAATATAAATATAATGTTATGTTATAAAAAAAATATTAATAACTATATTAATTTTATTATTAATACACAACAATTCAACAAAACTTATAATTTATAAGATAACATTATGTATTAAATTAAGTTAGATTATCTGAAACATAACTCAAGCTCATCCTAAAAATACAGCAGATTCAATTTAAAAACTTAAAATCTATCTAAATTAAACTTAAGTTCTAGATCGAGTTGGACCATGTTCACCTCAACTACTTATAGAATATGTTAATAAAGGGATATATATTTAATACACACTTGTGATCTTTTGATAAAAACTAGTCAAAGTTTTTACTGTAAATATTTCGTACAATCGCATAGTTAAAAACATGTGAACCACTTGCTATATATTAGCATACAATAATGGTTTGACAAAATGGAAAAAGGTGTGTTGTAACAATCAAACAGAGGCCACGTAACAGCTAATAGGCCGCCGCAATGTGAATGCAGCGGTCCTAGTATTAGTAAAAAGTTTCTTCCCTCTTCAGCACGTACTGCAACATATTTGGGTTTGCACTAACATTACACCACAACTACTTACCACACCAATACTAACCATTGAAACTGGAGTGTAACAATAACGTCATAAAAGCCTGTAAAGACAACTTCTGTTTAAGTTTATACATATGGTGAGTATAGAAGGTGAAGTGAAGTACAATTTTTGTAACTGATATAAAGATTTTATATTTTCAACTAATCAAAATCACATGAAAAATGACTTTGAAGTTTAATTCAGGAAAGGAGAGATCAAAGATGGAGCCCAAACTCTTCATTCCACACCATCTTTAATTGTTAAAGACATAACCACAATTTTGGACCAGCCTGGCCGTTTTATCCAAGGCTGTCAATTCTAAACCTAATTTAACAAGAAAGATTTTTACAGAAGAGATATATTAGAGGACGTGTTTGGTGGAGAATGGCCTAAGCACAACCGTGCTACATCCTTTAGCTTTTTTTTCCAAACCATGTTTGCCTTGGTTTGTTCTTGTTTCAACCGTAAGGACTTTTAGGCACACTAAAACAAGTCCTACAACAGAGATTAAGGGGTAAGAGTGATCTAAGTCTTCAATCTAGCCTCAATTTTACATAGTAAGTTTGTTGATATTGTTAGAATTACCGCGTCCAAGATATTACTTACTTTTGTGCCTCAAAAAGGTTAAAAAGGAAAAGTGTTAATAAATTACTCTTAGTCTTAATTCCTAAGTAATGTGAAACTTTTAGGAATACCGAAACAAGCTGCCTAGTTGAGACTAACGGACAAGAGTGGACCTTCCTTCTAGTGTCAATATTTCAACCATAAAGTTTGATAGCATCATTAAGGTTACCACATTCGGGATATTGTTTGTCGCTTTTGTACTCATTGGGTTGTCAGTTTTGTTCTTAAAAAGGTGTATCAATGGATTAAAGAGAGAAAATATTTATAAATTATCTTTAGCCTCGATTCTTAAGAAATGTATAGGGCTTTTAAGCATACCAGAACAAGCCCCCAAATTAGGGATAGAATATGCGTTGAATAAGGGTTTATGATATGACCTGTTTAAAATATGATCTACCTTGACCTATTTAATAAAGAGGTTAGGTTTAGGCTTTAAAAAAATTATTTATTTAAAAATTTTAAATTTAGATTTATGAAAAAGTCTTTTAAGGTTGATAGGCTAATCTATTTATTTATATAATAAAATAAAAAATATATATATACATATTATATTATTAAAAATATAATTAAATAAATATATTTGTAACAAATAATAAAATTATTAATATTTTAACATTTTCACTAAACGTTTTACATTCTCTATCCATATGAAATCAAGAAATATAAAATATAAAATCTAGCAGTAATATTTTCATCTGCTTTTTGTTGAGATTCATGGATGGTGAATCAGCTCAAACTTGGAGAATGAAGGTTTTGATGATAACAAAGTGTTGATTCTGAGAATCAAGGTTGACTAAGGACATCAACAAGTCAAAAACAAAGTCAAGAAGAAAATATGGCTATTATGTTGTGTAATAGGAATAACTCATAAGTTGTATTGCTTGTTGAGCTTATTTTTTCATGTGTGTGCTTTGTGCATAGGTTAATCTTTATCTAATCTGATTAAGAATGAGTATGATGATGAGTTAGAAACTTGAAAAGTTATTTTGAGACATAAAACAGAGTTTTTGAAAACTGACTCAAAATAATCGATTATCATTAAATATAATCGATTATTCCAGCAACAATTAAAAAGGATGCATTGCTGTAATAATCGATTATTTGTGAAATAATTAATTATCCCAGGAATCACTCTCTAGAATAATCGATTATCCTGCAAAATAATCGATTAATCTGTTGTTGGTTGATTTCCAAAAATCATGAAGAACAAAATAATCAATTATTCTTTAAAATAATTGATTATTTGGTTCTGAAAAACTTATAAATAGTTTGCACATTTTGAAACTTCAGAACAAGATAGAACAGAGAATCAAAAAAGAGAAAAACGTTATTGTGAAGTCTTTGTGACCTTCTTGGAGTGTTTTCTTTGTGAAACCAAGAAGTAAAACGTTTTTGAAATGCTTTGAGAAAAGATCATCATCATCATCACATTCTTGAAAAGAGAAAGATTAAGATTTGCTTCTGAATTCCAGGTGAATTCGTTCCTTTAATTCTTTGTGAATAATTGTAAATCTTGAGTAGGTATCTCAAGTGGTAAGGAATTCTTGTAGTGGATTTCTACAAGGGGTGCTTTCTTGGGGTAAAGAAAGTAATTATCTTGAATGTAGGAGTGTATGCATGTGTGGTATGCTTGTAAAACTTCTTCATTAAGATAGTGGAACAAATCTTGATCAGGTTATGATTGAGGTCTGGATGTAGGTCACATGTGGAGTGGCTGAACCAGGATAAAAGACTTGTGCAATCTTCTCTTGCCCTTATCCTTTACTTTGAGTATTCTTGATTAACATGTTTGTATGCAGAACATTGTTTTGAACTGAATCAAAGTATTGCATATTGACTGCTCTTAACTTTGAATCTTATTAAAGATTAATCAAGAAAGCATATAGGATTCATTCTTCATTAACAAGTCTTTAAGGAACTTCTTTGAAAATTCATATTAGAAAAGTTTGAATTGAAATAAAGATCCTAAGAACTCTAAAAAAATTTTAAGTGTCATAGAATCTAATTCACCTCCCCTCTTGGATTGAGCCATTCTTTTCTAACATTTTTTTCTTTCATCTTCATGATTGTTATTTACAATATTCTAAATGAGATATAAGAAATATTTTTTTAAAAAATTGGATAAGATTATTTTCTTTCATTACACTTGTGCATGAATATACGTTAGTATATATGAGTTGTCCTTCTTACGTTATTTTTTATTTTTATTTTAAATTCTAGATTTTAATAATAATAGAGTAAATTATTTTTTTTATCAAACATTAAAATAAGACTTGCAAACATATATAAAAATATATTTATTGACTTATTTAAATTAAGTTTATTGGCCTACTTAACATTATTATTGTACTATCCGATCTGTGAAACCGAGCTCGGAGCTCGGCACCACGACACAGGATGACTTCAGGTACGCGTTACATGACGTCAGCCCGGTATCTAAGTAAATCATAACTGATCCCAAAAGATCTCACCCCAGGCGAGATATATTATCTGATCTTATCATATCTTATCTCAAGCCCAAAAACAACCCTAATTCACACTAAGGTACATGCATTATTTATACGAGACTCATACTCATACAAACCCTAACTTTAGCATCGGAGTCTCTTTTGCAGGTACCTCCCCCATCTCGGAGCACCAATACATCACCAAAGGAGGCTCACCGATCTTACTGGACGGATCATCACTACGACCAAATTCCGGTAAGAACATTTGGCGCCCACCGTGGGGCCGATCACGACAACTCTTATCGGCCACACTTATGGTATTCACCAGAAGTTATAGCAGACGCGCAACAGACGACGCAGATCGCTCAATCACCATGAACAACGAAGCCACGTTGAGGAGACTGATCGACCAAGTCGAGCAGATGTGGCAACAACACGCCACCGATCTGGAAAATGTACGCCCCAAATATGAAACCGACCTAGCCGCAACCCAACCTCGATGGTGACACTCTGATCCCCCCTCTGATTTTCCGCTCAACCCCAGCGGAACAATACGAGACATGGAAAACCAACAAGTAGGGCCAACTCCCCCTCGGGGAGTGGTCTGTACGATTGCAGGAGGCTTCGCAGGAGGGGGTGGTAGCAGCTCAGCCCGCAAAAAACACCTGCGCAACGTCAACCGCGTGCACTTCACCACCCCAATCCCACATCGGAACTCGCCCGTGATCACTTTCGCCGACGACGACTACGCCGGGGTTTATCCCAACCAGGATGATCCCATGGTGATAGCCGTAGCACTGGCCAATTGGGAGGTCCACAAAACCCTAGTCGACCAAGGAAGCTCGGCCGACATCCTCTATTGGCCAACGTTCCTCAGGTTAGACATC